TTGGGCTCAATTGGCCACTACCGTGCACGCTGGCAACGGTACTGGCACGCACATGCACTATCGGGCGCTGCTGGGCGCCGTGGGTAGATGACTGGCACGCGGGCTACGCGTGCTGGACTGGTGGGACACTCGGACGTGCTGCCAGGCAACGCCGAAACCTGCTGTGCATCGCTGGCACGCTGCTGAGCGTGCTGGCGTGCGTGGTGACTGGCCAGCGTGCGTAGTACGCTGCTGGCGTCCGTACGTGCTTCGCGGGACACGCTGCTGAGCGTGTGACGCGTTGCGGTATACGCGGGTGAGCAGAGATGTGCGCTGTCGTGCGCGTTGGCGTGCACTGCGCACGTCTACACGCATAATTGTGGCATCGCGACGCTTGTCTGTCGAGTACTAGGCACGCGTGCGCGTTACTGGGCGTGCGGACGCTGCCTGCGTACTCGATGGGCCTGCCGGGCGTGCCTGCGCGCACGCTGTGCACGGTAGGTATCACGGTCGGCATTTCACCGGCCGTCCGGCTACTTTTTCCGGCAATCCACATATGATTGATCATGTTTTGACTTAAAATGACTGAAAATACACAGATTACAGTTTGTAGTTTTTTTGGGCATGTGGTAACCGAGCTACCCGACTCGGGTCGTTCTCAAAGGAAGGCTCTTCGGAGCTTCGTTCACTACCTAGTCATCAAAGTCACACAACCGAAAAGGTCCTAAACATTCTACTCGCAATTTGAGGGTTGATTTAAGCAAAATTAATCTACGAAATTGAATTCGAAAGCAAGTAAAGCACGTAAGAAGATTAGAGAGATCAAGGGGGAAAGAGGGATTTTGGTTCACCGGAGTCATCATGATCAAAAGCATGCAAAAATCCAACCATTGCTATGTTCGCTAAAAACCCTAGGAAGTCAAATCAAACTCTAGCATGAATCAAGCAAAGAATTCAACTCCTACCACACTTAGTCAAACATTCATGATCCAAAGCAACAATCTTTTCTTCCAAAATCTCAAGCACAATATCAATTTACCAAAGCAATAAAGATATACAAGGTAATGGGGTTTAAGACTAAGTTACCCACTCCAACATGCACTCGGGAGAAGAAACGGAATCAAAAGCTTGAAACTTTGCTCAAAACAATGTCGCCGGAAGTTCGCCGGAAAACTTGATTCATAAGCTCCAAACCAAAATATAAAAAAGGAAAAAAAGAAAATAGAGAGAAATTCCCAACTTAAAAGTTGGGAAATGAGGGTTGTTCCCCCAAAAATACAAAGCACAATGTCTATATATAGCTACACCACAAACACACACTAAAAACACACACATTTAATGAAATCATGAAGTTCGCAGGTCTCGAAACGGAGTTCGCAGCGAGTTTGGGCATGGAATAGTGCTGGAATGGTGGTAACACAAAACTCCTCGACCGGCTGGAACTTGAGTAATCGCCTTCCTTCTCACCGGTTGAACGTCGTGCACCTACAAAGAACTCTCACACCGGAGGGGTTTTCCGGTGAAGAGCCTCCGAAGCTTAAGTCAGTGTGTATTCAATCAATTCTCAAGAGTAATATAATGATCGTGTTGAAGAAGAAAGGCTCACCCCCTTTATATAGAGGTGAGATACCTGACCTAGGGCTGCCCGGATTTGATGAGCTGTCTGCCCTAACTGCCCGTCCGTACGCACCAAACGCGTGTGTCAGAGGTAGCCGTCGCCACTATCGCCTGCACCAATCCCCTTTGGACGCGTGTCCTCCTGCACATGGGATATGCTGTCAGAGGCGGTTATTGTCACACCCCGCCTTACTACTAGCTTTGAAAAATCAGAGTAAAATTTTTGCTTTT